AAGCTACCGTCCGCGTTGCTCATCATAGTCATGGACTGGCCGTTCGAGGTGACAGACAGAGAAGCTGTCGTAATCGTCAGCGTGATTTTGGGACAGTCGAATACTGCCCAGAGTGAAAAATTACCAACCGGAGGATATGCGCTGCTAGGAACTATATCAGCTCCAATGACATCAGCTATAGGAATGGATTCCGTTGTCATTGGAGTAGGCGAAATTGACATCTCGCATTCCCGAGGGTTCGACGCGTACTCCGCTCTCTCTAACTCGCGCATCGCAGAATGCAATACCTCGATAACCTGAAGAGGACGAATAGCGAGAGTCCCAACCAAAGTTTTCAGGAATTCATAAACACTCGGCTCAATTCTCATATGACATGATCCGGCCTGGTCCACCGTAACCTTCCAGCGGCCTTCTGGACCCCGGAAATCACAAAATAGTTAAGTTCACATCCATCAAGACGACTCGGGAATAACTGGATGAGTGATACCCACATGTAAGCCATGCGGGCAAGTTTGTTGAGCTACCATCAGTGCGGCTCTCGTCAATTGGCATTAGATAGCTCGAATCCAGATAAGTGTGATATTTGACATCGACTGCCCTAGCTCAGTAGTTGGAGCGTAGGACTGTTATTACGAGATCGGTGGCTCGAACCCACCGCGTACCGCATTATCGAGGAAGTCTCATTACAAACATTTCATTGGCTATGCTTGAATATCTCGAATTAAACAGCAATCATAGCAACCGGCAATAGCTCAGTTGGTAGAGCGTCCGACTGTAGTGAACTAGTCATCGGATGGTCCCTGGTTCGATTCCGGGTTGCCGGATTTTATCCATTGACATCGATATTTTTACATTGAGAATTTTTATAACAAGCTTCGACTCAGAACATCATCGGGAACACAGAGGAAAACGTGTCTCCTCAGTAGGCTTGCTCGAGCATTAGTGCAATACACGAAATCTACCACTTCACATCGATATCTAGACGCGCTGCTCAGATAAGTGAGCATGAATTTCCTCAGAGGTACGAGAAATATACTCCACCAGAGCATTCCGAAAACAGGGAACTACAGCGATATGGCATACGGTACTCTCTGGCAGTTACGAATGAATCTCTCAGCTTTTCCGAGTTCGAGACGCGCCGCGCAGTTTGCCGGATTCGAGAGTACTCGATAGCCCAGTTTCCACACGAACTAACAAATCCAGAGAAACTCTCCTACTGCGAAGTTCTGGTGGCGCTTTACCATAACGATTACACGATACGGTATAGGCTCTACGAGTACTAGGTCAAGAGATGGAGCGTCACAGAGTGGGATTAGAGTAGAGTTCAACTCTCTGCATTAATCGGTACACACATGGCTGGACTGCAAGATGCGAGATTCGGGTTCGTTACAATGTCACAGCACCATACGTCGATATGCGAGGTACGGTATCTATCTCCATTTCGCTATCAGATCTCACATAGGATTCATTTGGCACGAAATATACTGATGATAAACCCCTGACTGCAACCCGATAAATGTAGAACCTCGTAAGTCGCAGGAAGAACAACAATATCCAACTTGCCCGTCTAGCTCAGTCGGTAGAGCGCAAGGCTCTTAACCTTGTGGTCGTGGGTTCGAGCCCCACGGTGGGTGTAATTTATTCTGATACAGAACTAGGGTAACATTACAGCTCGGGGAGCCATAATGGAGAGCCGTGCTCTCCATCAAGGGCTCCTGTCCACTTTAGCAACTTCAACCACTTTTCTTATAAATTTTCAGCAATAATGAGAGCATTCACCGAGTGATACTATTTGTAACAATATCACTCACTGAGGCCTCTCAAGTGGACTCACAAGCTCCAAGCATTCCTCCGTCACTAATATTTCCAATTCCGAGTGCTCAACCAACACCACCGCATTTGGCAGCAGCTCTTCCCGAGGGAGATGACAAACTCTGGCGTGAACCTAAACTCGATCACATTTCTACTCCCAAGTTGAGTTCGGCACTCATTCACTTTAAATCCAGACTCTCTCCAGATTTCCACAACCCTGTAATCTCCCTTCAATGGAGCCCAGCTACACGATGGTAGATACCATGCTCTATTGCCACACGCGATCAAATCGTATAGGTCGAACCTACAGTGATTTGCTCAAAATCAATGTGGGAAAATTCATGAAAATTCCGAGAAATTTTTGAGGATTATTCTTGCTCTCTGTGTACCCAAAGTCGTAGGGAATTCTTGAGCTCAGCTGAGGGAGGCAAACATATATTCCAATACTGCTCAGAATCACAGCTTCCATAGTTGCACCTACGCAGCTTCCACATGCACTCCTTGCAGAGAGTTAACTTTTTCTCTTATTTCTGAGCGAAGCGAAACCGCGCCAATCTCGATGAGAATAGCATCAGAGCTATCTGAAACATAAACTACTGTCCGTTTGTTTTCCTCAATTCAGCTGAGGTGTCTCAATACATAATAAAAATTGCCACACGACTTCGGGCACAAATGCACAAAACCAACGAGAATTTCCCAAAATTTTCTCAGAATTGTCACCAACATACCTAGTTGGACACTATGTACATATTCTTCCACACGGCAGCTCTCACTTGACGGCAATGAAAATCAAACAAATCGTCGACCAACAACAGAAATCCACGAGCATGCCGCGCTCTCCCTTGCGAAAAAACAGTGACACACAGCTGTAGGAAATTATCATCATCTCGATCACTCCCAACCTACCTGCTCGCGCATCTCTCGGGATCAACACACATACGGGAGCGCCAAGATCAAGATGTACATCTATACCGCGATGATCATAATCACCACGCGCCAGGTCTATAGCCTACCGACACGAAAAATACTATATATCATCTTGTGAGGAAAATATGAGCCATGATGATGGCAGGTATCAACAACGCATTCGTGAGTATCGGAATCTAATCACATGATCAATGTGATATTATTATTATTATTATAATCAAATCTCACATATACGAGGAGGGTTGCCTCGGAATAACATCAAATATGCGAAATATCAAACTCGACACATTTACATACCGCAAAATGTAGCAAATAATCTTCACAAACTCGAGCGATTCAATTTCGTCAGAATAATAGTGGAGTTTCACAACCCGTTTTACGTGAAGTGACGACGTAAAACTCCGCGAAAAACGCGATATTCGCGCTGATACGCAGGAGTCGTGAAATATGTTTTTCATATCACTAGGGTCAAAAAACTCCAATACTATCATTGGGAGTTTCATCCGTGAAGTCACGCGCGATTTCCCTTCCTAAAGTTGAAGCCATGAAACCGGTCTGAATATCGGTGGACCTCCACGATTGCTACCAGGAATACTATCTAATTATCTCTATTGTAGTGTACAGACGCGCTATGATCATGTAACTGTATCTACCTATCCTCACCTATCGGGGAAATATAAATTCTACTTTCATTCTCAATTTTACGCCAGGACTCCGACCATGGCAGCGATCGGTTCGAGCCTCTCCCCAACGATCGTGGTGAGAAGGATCGAGAGCTCTCATAGTCCTGGGTAGCTCATGGCGAGCATTATTCGATGAGAGTCAACAACATGTATTGTTACTATCAACTCTGACAACTATACTCATCTTACTACGGTTGACCAGGCAAGTGATATTCAATCAACTATCACATCATCTCAACCCAGTTTTCCACTTTACCCTAATTCTCAAATTCTCTGTGTTAATTTCAAACTACCGATAAATTTTGGAAAACTCCCAACTCGATTAAGGCGATCTGTTCAAGTACTGTGATGTCTCCTTTTATGCGATCGCCCCGAGATACGCTAAATAGTGAGAAACTAATCTAAGAAATAATAATCTAATAGACTGCTCAAGATTTAGGCCTTGACAAAATCTGTGGATGACCGACTAGCACGCTTTCCGGCATGCAATGGGGGTCACATATCATCATGAATCATAAGTTTCTTATCTATTTCGTCGAATAAACTGCCATCGGTCGAGTTGCTCAAGGAACTAGCACGGTTGAGGGCGATGAGAATCGCGCTTGTCTGAATATCTTTGAAACGGTTACGAGTATCACCTATTACTCTTGACATAGTATCTGTTATGTAACTGGGCATCGATTGCTTCAATTGCCGAGGGAGACTGTCTTTGTCGGGAAAGGAATCGAAAATTCCGTGATTTACTCAAGAAAATGGCACGCGGCATTCAGAGTTCGTCTATCACTATATCGAGTTAACCATCCGTAGCCTCACAAGTGTACTCACCAACTGCAATCCGTCCTTCACCATTTTCTGTATTCGATCACTCGCCGATTCAACGAATGCCTCCATACGCGCGTCGCCCGATCTAGACCTTAGCTGTAGTTCTACTGCTAGTACTGCTATCACCTCAGGAATTACAACCTAAAAAGTAAATAAAATGATGATTTTCGTCGTTGCCTTTCCTCAGCTAAGCTCACAAGTTTACTCACTAATACATAGGACTTCGGCGAGTATACAGAAACCAATAATTTTGAATATATGTAAATTTCCCCACAACTCACCAGTTTAGCCCGACCACATGTAAACGCTCGCACAGTTACATCGGGCATATCCTCGCGTTTACACTGAGCCTTCCCAAATCTCATAAAAACATCACTTCTCGTCGTACTCGACCTTTCATTTCCTTCAATTTCAAAAACCTAAATCGAACTTCGCTGCTCACATACATATTTCACGTATTAAGATTGCGTATTAGTTTACGTTTTAGTTTTTTTAGGTTACGTATCACAGTATTAGGATTATTCATACTCATAGTTTTATTTTTTCATATCACCAGGGTGAAACTCCAGTGAATCGATTCAGTTTAAAATCCATCATACTATACAAATACAACTCATCACAAGAGACGACTCACAGTGCTAAAATTGATCTTCTTTTTCTCCTCTAGCCCTCCATTTAGTGTCGTTGTTAATACAGGTTTCATACACCCCATGGACACTGACCAACTACGGTCAGTCATCGTATCACTCAATACTCTCAATTTTTCACAATCTGAAATAATAAAATAACTCCGCAAATGCTGCAGCAGAATTATTTTCCTCTGTGAAATCACATTAAGTTCATTTCGGAGTGCATAAAAACTCCAATTAGGAGAGCACCCCAACTGTAACACTGAAGAAGTTACTACTACACCAAACGATAGGAAGACTTGCAAACAGTCTATATTCCCAAAAAACATGAAATCAATCGCTCCGCTGTATGCATAGATTCAACGCCCAACAAGACTATAATAATATATATACAATCAACAGATTCAAATAAGATATACACCCAAAATGAAATAAATAATGATTTACCAACATGGAATAAATAGTAAATCACTATTTACCCCATTACTATTAGTGATATAACTTATTACACAAAAGATACACGATGAATATTACATTGGAGTTTCTTGACCCTAGTGATATGAAAAACACTAGCGAGGAACATATTGCACGACTACTACATAATGTGAATATCGCGTTTTTCATCGAGTTTTACGACGCCACTTCACGTAAAACGGGTGATCGTGAAACTCCATTAGTAAAATATCATACCATAATAATCTCTTTCAGTTTACTGCACCGAAGATTTGCGAACAGTTAATTTCCAACAAACATAACATTCATCGCTCCGCTGTACGCATAGGTCACGCCCAACGCTTAATACTTGTGTT